GAAGAAACCTTTAAAGAATTAAGTTTATATACTGACGAATTCTTGATACATGCTGCTGATGTTGAAGGCTTATGTAGAGGTATCGATGAAACTCTAGTGAAAAAATTATATGAATGGACTAGAAATATAGATAAACATATTAAAATAGTTTATGCTGGAGGTGCAAAATCTGTTCAAGATCTTGAATTGGTGGATAAGCTAAGTTCAGGGAAAGTGGATTTAACGTATGGCAGCTCTCTAGATATATTTGGGGGAGAATTAGTGAAATTCGAAGACTGTTGCCAATGGAATAAGTCTCAAAATTGAGTTGCATTTTTTTTGTACGTATTCTATTTCATTTGTAGTACAATTGGGTATTTAAATTTAGATTCCATCCTATGATATGTAGGATTAAGAAAAGACAAATTAATAGACTAAAGTATGCGTGATATTAATTCTTTTTTTTTTTTGGTTTTTAAAACCTATATATATATATTACATGTTCCTATTACTGGGTCGAATTTAACTTGTATAATTCACTAAAATGACTATCTATTATTAACATAACTTTCCATTGTTTACCAAGCATCATCATAAACACCATTTCCACCCATTTCACCACCATTATTAGAATATGGATCGTTACCGGTACCACCCATGTTGATATCACCGTTACCTTCCATACCACCAGCACCTATATTGGTATTACCGGCATATTTAACTTTATCTTGATCCATTTGTGTCAATGCTAGTAATATAGATGCGACTTTTTTCTGTAAAGTATCAATACCTCTTAGGACTACTTGATCTGAACTTATGGTTCCTACGGTTTCAACATTCATATAAAAATGCATCAGCTTGAGCTTTATAGTCGAACACTTCACCTTCGTGTGGAGGGTCTTCATATTCACAATTTTTAGATTGCGGCCATTCCTTTGCAGGATCTTGTTCAAACCAGAAATCGGTATGCTTTAATTTATTCCAAGGATCATATTCGAATTCGATGGCAGCTGCAGGACCCCACTTAGCATGCTCTTTAGAAATACCCTTTTTGGCAATACAAGTCAATTTCAATTCTTGACCCTTTCTTAATTTACAAATAAGAACACCATTTCCTTCCTTATCCTGAATGATTGGATGTCCGATATTTCTACCCATTAAATTTGAGACTATATCTAAATCCTTTGAATAAACATTTGTAGTACTTTCACTTTCACCAACTGCCTGTAGAGTTAAAACAACAGAACATTTATCACAATGGTCTTCACAGAAACAATCACGACAATACTCCAGTTGCTCGATATCTGTACTTTGTAATGGAACTAAACCTAACCTATGAGCAATGAATTCATCTGCTAAAACAGTAGTATTTGTAATAACTTCCACCGAATCAATAGCCAATGTTGGAATCTCAGCAATCATAACTCTACGAAGAGAATTAGCCAACGCCATATCGACATGGGAAAGGATAAAGTCTACATTATCCTTAGTAGCTTCTCTAATCTTAACTTGTGGACCTTCTTCACTCATTTCTTCAATCTAACTATAGTTTTAATTCTATATTTTTCTATTATCTCTTAATCCCCACACAACTCTTCGTTCTTTCTCCTTCTTTCAATGGAAAGTAAAGTTTTCAAATGCAAAACACTCCACACACAACGCAGAGCTATAAATCTACCACTAATAGAGTCCTCAATCCCCGTAAGATAGATCCTTTAACCATCATTACTTATAATCAAACTAAAAGTTTTTAATAGTTCATTGAACTGTTTAAAAGTTTGGGTTTTTCTTATTTTTCGACAAAGAAAAAATATTGAAATGCATGTTCGTGTCTAATGATGGATGTATATTTTATATCATGTGGTATTCACGTGATTGTGTATTCGAATTGTAAAAAGCATCGCCATTTCGAAAGCTTTTAAGAAAGAAGGCATCTAAGATCCTAAACGACCTGACTCATTAGATGGAAATATGATGATCAATTAGTTTCTAAAGGTCAAGATTAATCTACTTTGTATATCAAGAGTAACTGAATTGTTTTCAATAAAAGCATCTAGTTCGATTCAGCAAATTTTGGCCTGTTTTATATACCTTATCGATTATTTTGAAGTTCCTTCTTATACACCAAGTTTATTACCATTGGATCTACGTTTAGATAAGTATTACTGATTTCGATAATGGAAGTTGCACCTGGTCCCACTAATTTCCCTGTTCCTGATGTCAGGTTTGAAGAAACCTTCAATAGAGCCATAAATAAGGAAGCTGAGAAACAAAGAGAATATAGCTTAAAGAAAAAAGGTTTAACTACAGATGAGATTTCGAAGATTAAGGAAAATGAAGCCCCTGAGGTTACTACTTATATCGTTTGGAAAGTAATTGTTAGAGACATGCTAATAATGCCATTTATTCAAGGTATTATGTTTTCAGGCTTGTTGATCATATTAAAACCTTGGTTAAGAAGTGTTGTTGGCAACGGTAGAAGATTTGGTACATTCATATATAATACCGTCTTAGGAAAGAATCTAACAAAGACTAAAAAGCAATGAAACCTAAAACTAAATAATGAATAGAAATTAAAATATACAAACTCTCTCTCTCTCTCTCTTTCTCTCTCTCTCTCTTTCTCTCTCTCTCTCTCTTAAAGGGCATATTATAAGTGAGCGCGACGGAATCAATTTGCATTTCTTAGTGAATAGATATATATACATTTTTACAGTAATCATCAAATTATTTTGAATTAATTATATTTAACGTTAGTATTTATATCATTATGTACAAGAATAAAGTAATTCTAAAGAAATACATGTGATGTTATTCTATCTATACCCGGATCAAGTAAACTGTCTAGAACCACCACGAACAAATTCTAATATTTTCCAACCTTCAGTTTCATCATCGTCAATTTGTTCAGGATCTCTTGTAAAAACCATTGCATAAGAACTCATTAATATGTTTGACTCATCACCTGCTGCAATTTCCCCTGTTTTAACTTTACGGTATAAATGGATTTCTTGCGCTCTGCAACCTACAACTAAAACTGGTATATCTTGTGGGGCTAATAATTTTGCACTGACGATTTCTACACCCCTGATGTCTAATATACGTCCATCTGGGAATAACTGTTGTTTTCTGAATTCCTTTTGTTGAGCAGCATAAACATTGTATGGAGCTTCGCTGAACCATTTCTTCAAAACAGCTTCATCACCTTTAACATAAGCTTCTAGAACTTCAGGAATGATATATTCTCTTAGATGTTTTGTGAAAGAATCATTTGAAAAAGTTGGATCCATTAACTTAAATTGACTCAATACACGGGAAGATTCAGTTTCTGCAAAGAAACCTCCAATTTTACCAGATACTTTTCTTAAAAATACAATCAATGGGTTTTCATTTTCATCCCATAGCTTTACTTTCACACCATGTATAGTACGGCCTGCTGTAGTGTTTTCTTTAAAATCTTCCATTTTTTTCCCAAGTGATTCTTTGGCTTCAATATTTGTAGCAACGATGGAGGTACCTGCTTCGTCATTACTTTTAACCGCTCTAACTCTTTTACCTGAAACCAAATCAGATTCACGCTTCAATCTTCTTTGTTCCTTGCCGATGAAACCACCATAACGAGAACTATCACCATCATCGATGACATCTGAAACATCTTTGTAAACTTGAGTTTTTCTTACAGGTTCAAAACTTTCATCGATCTTTCTAGCAGTGGCACTAGCTGCTTTTCTAGTACTTTTACCAATTTCAGAATCCCAAGCTTTAGAAGCTATATCTTCTACAGTTTCACCAGTTTTTTGTAACGTTTTACCAACAATTGTAGAACCCTTCTGAGCCTTCAGGTAAGCCTCTCTTGCCTTCTTATAGGCTTCGGATTCACCTAATCTACCAGAAGCATCTTGTAAGGCTTTAATATTATCCTGTAGGTCTTTTGATTTCTCCCATTCCTTCTTGAAAGTATCACGAAAGATTTGTATAGGAGTTCTTGGACCCTGTAAGACTCTCGAACTAGTAGAAAATAAATGAATACTACCGGAACACAGAAGCTTTGGGGTATTTCTCTTTAACACAACACTCCTCTGCATTATTGTGAATGTTATATCTATATCAAACTAAACTCTGGTAAAGTTCAAATGGAATCTAGCCACTATCAATAAATCAAAAATAATAAATAAAAAATAAAAATAACTGTGATATATTTTAATACAATTTCTATATTTTACAAAATGCCAACAAAATTGTATCGTATGCTCATATACCAACAACAGAAACAGAAACAGAAAAGAAGATATAGGTTAAAGTGTGTATAGTATAAGTAAACCAACCCAAAATTTTTCTTTCCTTCCTTAATTCACAAAATATCTAAATGACCGACTATTAACAAGTAATTTTGATCAGGAAAAAGATGAAAATAAAATGTGTAATAGAATAGATATCGACCACAACCACTCTAGTTCTTGTAGATTCACCGTTAGACCTCTCGAATGAATCTATAAGGTCCCTTATAGAACTGATAAGTCTAGTCAATTAAATCGAAATCTTTTCTTAAAATCAAAATTTTTCAGCCTAATTTTTTTTTTTCACGGTGGAAACTTTTTCCATAAAAAAACGTTAATGCAGTGGGGGAGAGGGGAGAGGAGAGGGGAGGGGGAGACACCAGACTGTTTGTTAAATTGGTGATGGATGGACTGGTCAGATATTTAAAGACCTGGCAATGTATCTTGTGATGATTGCAAGGGTATTTATATCTTTTTTTGTATCGGCTGTGTTTCTTTCAAAAGAGTTGAGTGTCTTCTGATGAGATAGAATGGTGAAGAATTGATGTGTAAATGACGTGTGTGATGATATATAGATACTTGTCACTTAACTGTGTATGCAGCACTGTCGGATGTACAGTTGAGAACGTATAAGCCAGGCAATGAGACAAGTGTACGTGTGTGGAAGAACAAGTGGTTCTTATTATCTTGATTAGTGTGTGTTTCTAGGTGTGTCGCATCTAGTTTGTGACACAAGGTGTCTTTTTCGGAGTTTCAGTTACCCGGTCCATGCACGAGTTGGGTATCTCGGGAAAATTGAAATTTTTTGAAGGTGTCGTATGTCACGTGATTTTGGATATTTCAATTCTTATCTTTTTTTTTTATCTCTGATCCCACACACACAGCTCAGCTCAAAAAATTGAACCTTCAAGAATTGTTAATAGGCACTGTAAGGAACCTAAACCTTTAAATCTTAAATGGCAACTGAAAACTTAGGAGTTAAGGTACCTAATTGTTGCTGTGGTTTTTGATTCCTTTGTAACTTCTTTCTGGTTGAGTTCAAGGAAAGTCTGAGCCAGTGATACTTTCCATGAGGTGAACGAACGTAAGTGGGAGAAGGGCTAACTTACAGAAAGCATTTATAGACAGTAAAATTCTGCATAACTTCATAGCATAAAGTAGTCATATATTGGAATTTTACAATTAATTGATATCTTTATATTACTAAAATTAGTATTATAGATATTTATTTGCATATATTTACCTACATACCCCAGTAAATGGCGAGGAAACGACAAAGAATAGATGGCATGAAACCTAGAGATACCTTAAGTAGTTCAGACCATGGTAGTCGTATTTCAAATTTCAACAATTTTGATTACGCAAGTAATTTAAACAGTACAAATACTCATTTACCTAAACGACATAGAATGTATTATCATCATGGGTTAATGTCCAGTAAAGACTTCGTGCCTTCTCAAAGACTGTCTAAGCGAACGAATGATTCAAATGAGAACCTGGAAGGTAAACTACGACAGGAAATTCAAAATGTTGTGGTGAATGTAAGAGATGAAGAATACAAGGGAAATGAAGGGTTGAACAAGGATTACAATACCCGTGATAATAGTAATAGCAGTAGCAGTAGCAATAGCAATAAAGATAATGACGACAACGACAACGACAATGACCGTGATGAAGACGACGATTTCGAAGCATTAAGGAATTCTTCTCCTTTATCGAAAATTAAAAGTCAAAATTTTCTATCAATTACAACTAATACCAATAACAATAGCACTTCCACAATAAATGATCTTCCTTTAGATTTAGGGAAACATCTTAGCATTAAAAATAAAAACTTAAAGAGTTCAGGTACCATTTACTATATCGATTCTTCTCAAACTTCATATAAAAATACGAATTACAAGATAAACATCAACATTAAGGAAAACGCAGTGAAACTTACAATTATTCCTCAAAATTCACAAGACTCGACTGCAATTAATATAGAAAGAGATTGTGAAAAACTAATATTTGATAATGATTTTACAACATTGGGTATCAAGCTTAATAATTATAGAGAAATCAAATCATTTGATAAAAAAAGAAATGAACGGAAATTTATAAAGACAAGATTCATAATTTGGAGCACTACTATTGCATCTAGCCATCAATTGAGATTGTTTTGCGATACCTGTGAAAAAAAATTTAGTACATCATTAAAAATAATATACTCATCATCGTTATATGTAAATGATCAGGATATATTCAGAAAATTTGAGAAAGCAGCAGGGGTTGATTTAAAAAGAAAATCAGAAACTGAACAATCTGACCGTGAAACGTCCGAAGAATTAAAAGCTCAAAAACCAAGAGTAAGAGAAGAAAATAATCATAAATATTCTTTCATAAAGCCATCAGGACAGAGTTCAAAAAAATTCTATATCTCAAATAAAGATCCAGATGCTGAAAATGCACTTTCAAATATTTCTAATGGGATACCAGCACAGAGTTTCTATTCTACTCGGACTGAAGATACTAAACCGCTTAGTTCTTTCAAATTTTCAAATTTAAGAAACTCCAATGTGGCAGAAACTAATACTAATAATGATAGAACAGGAAATTCTAAAGTATCTTCGGTAAAGGAAGCTCGTGTCTATGAAATTCCTGAAGATTTCTCACCAAAGTTAAATTACAAGTTTGAAGACGGCTCTGTTCACACAATCACTAATCAAGATTTTAGATCATTATACAATCACGAGTGGATAAACGATTCCATCTTAAATTTTTTCATTAAATATTATGTTGAAAAGTCTGTTTCAGATGGAGTCGTTTCGAAAAATGATGTTGCCATCCTATCATCCTTTTTCTTTTCAAAATTGATCAGTACTGAAGAGAATCAATATCACAATGTAAAAAAATGGGTAAGCAATTCAGACCTCTTTTTAAAGAGATATATTGTAATTCCCATAAATACCAATTATCATTGGATTGCATGTATTATTAGCGGATTTGACGAGCTTTACTATGACTTAAACGTTAAACGGCTAACCACGGCTGGCAATAAAGAGGTGATTAGAGAGCATGGAAAGGAAAAATTAAGACCATCTTATCTATCTGACTCCCCTAAAATCAATATATATTTATTTGATTCGTTAAGCAAAAGCCGGGGTAGCGATTTAAAGCCATTAGTTCGTTTTATTATTGAATACGCATTTGATAAATGTAAATTGAATATTAAACCAGAATATGTGAAGATCAGAAATTGTTTGGTACCAGAGCAGCCTAATATGAGTGACTGTGGTGTTCATGTCATTTTAAATATAAAGAAGTTTTTTGAAAATCCAATAGAGACGGCTACTATATGGAAGCATACTAGCAGAATAGGTTGTGCTGGGGATGTATTAGCAAATACCTATTTTGAGAAACAGCTGAGAGGCCAGTCAAGAAAAAATTTAAGAGATGTCCTATTTGAATTACAAAAGAAGCAATTGGAGCAGCAAGAAGAAAGCGAGACGAAACTTTCCAATGACGAACAAGATGAGAGTAATGAAGACATAGTTTTAATTGAGAAATCTGGTTTAGATGAAATAACTCAGAAACAAGACAATCCTGATGAAGCTTCAAAGAATTTATGTTCTGAACCACCTAGTCCTAAGTTAGATAATATGAAAATGAAAATATCAAACACTTCCGTAGAACTGAAGAATAGTGAATATGATCAAAAATCCGAAAATGATGATGAAAGTAACAAAGACCTCCATACGTCAACCAACTTATCTGTCGACTCGAAATTTATTAAAAGTTTACAGGACAAGTTAAATCCTTCTGAAGAAGATAACCATGCCACAAATTTTCAACATATGGAAAGATCCAAACATCGTATCAATGAATTGCAGAGTTCTCCAAAACGGTCAAGCGATCAAACTATACCAGGTTCGCCTGATCTGAATATATTCAAAACTGGTAAAAAATCTAAATATTTCTCCTCTACTCCATCTAAAAGATCTGTTATTTCACAGAATTTATCAAATATTTCGTTATCCGATGAATCTATGACAAGTGACTCTTCAGAGGATCACTCTATGACATCGAAAATTAAACAGCAAATCGGATTATCTGATGATAAAGATAATGAAAGTGACGATGAAAGATCAGACTTAAATACACCAAGTGTAAGTCCTTCTCCTGATATTGTTACCTCAGGAAATGTTATATTTACAAAACTTCCTCGAAGTGCAAACAGTGACAACTTACATAAAGTCAGAATATCCCCTAATATCTACGAAAGGTCAAGTAGGCCCGCAATTAATTCAGAAATGGATAGTGATGTGAATTTGTTGGCCCATCGAAACATTTTTCCCAACGAACTTGGGGGTGAATCTGAGAAATTAAGAAGAGAAATCGACCTTGCATTGGGAAACGAACCAGAATCTAAGATAGTTGCAGATATCCAAGTTATAGAAAGGGAAGATTCCCAGCTAGAATTAGCAAACAGTTTTCAACGATTACCAAACTATGATAAAGAAAGAAACACAGAGATGAATATCTCACGAACTGTAGAACAAGGCTCTTCAGCTGATAGTTCCGTTGAGGAGGTTGAATTTTCTTCGGATGCGAATGTGAAAGATCATATTCACATATTAGATGATTAGTGCATTTTCTATTCTAATTAATCAGATGCATTTGCCGTAATATCTCACTTTATTGACAATTGAATACAACACGAGATTCATGAACTCGAGTAATAATATTGACAATGGAGTTCCTTGCATCTATCTATCTTTATTACAATTTGATGAGAATACACTTTAGTACATTTTGCATTATATATAAAATTTTATCATGAATCTTTATTAATTTACATACAGAATTACAATGTAATGAAATAATTACACACCCGTTGCCTTAAAATGACCAAGGTTTGAACTTTGCTGGTGCTGCATTTGTCAAAGCTTCTAATTCAAGATTCTTTTTCTTTTGTAACTCTTTGTTATCTGCTTCTTCTGCAGCTGTTTGTTCTTCCTTTTCAACGACCTTGATTGTAGAATCAACTTGCTCGGAAATTAATACAAGTTTTTTAGATACCGATAATTTTTCTAAGTGAGAATTCAAATCTGTAATTTGCTTGCTTAAATCACTTCTATTATCAGCCAGTTGTTTAGTTTGTTCTTCAAATTTAATGCGCTCTTTCTCTAATGTATCTTCTAGCCTATCGAGCTCTTTAAATTTTAAATGCAATCTTTTTAAAGTTATATCTACCAATTCTTGTGTTACTACTTCCGCTTCCTTTAAATATTTTTTAGATATCACATCTGCAGACATAGGTATATTTTTTTCTAGTATATCTTTATTGTCACCCTGTAATAGAGAAATTATTGTTTTATCGACAGCTTCAACAATACTTATATCACCGCCGATAGTTTGGTTTAATTTTTCAATTTCCTCACTTCCTTTGGACTTTCCGATTATATCATCAATATATTGATCTTCAATTGGCAATTTCAAAAATTTCTCTACACAATCCAGTACTGTCTTATTAGTACCTATATGTTCTGCAATTTTTTCCCATTGATCTTCATAGATTTCTATACCTTCTAACAATAATAGAATTTCTTGATCGGACCAGAAAACTTTTGATGATGTATTACTATTATTTGTTAATTTTATAAAATCAGAAGCTTGGAAACTTGCACCAAAATGACCTTCTTGGAAACATCTGGAACATAAATTGACATCTCTGGCACGAAGATTATGATATCTTACATATACAGTATCATTACCACATGTAAAGCATACATAAGTTCTTTGTGGAACTCTAGAAGGTTTATCATTAGATTGCAGGTTGTTGAATTCAATTACAGAATCGTAGGCAGTCTTCTTCAATGATAAATTTACCGGAAATTTGTCAGGATGTGTAAATTGGTGTTCAGGAACATTAATACTTTGAGAAGCTTGTTGATTTTGAGCAGATTGGGAGTTTTCCTCAGTTTGCGTAGTTTCCATAGAAATGTCACCATCTGTTGCAGTTGCTCCGGTTTGACCTTCTTCCGCATGTTGAGATTCATTCAGGCCATTGTCTTCTTTTTTCAATTCTTCATTTTTGATCAATTTTGATGGAAGGAATGGTTTCAAGCCTTCTGGAGCATCCAATACAACATCAAAATGACCACTATAGTTTGCTCCATTTAGAGATGATTTTGATCTTGGATCTAATTGATAATTAATTAAACCCCATTTTTCTAGAAAGGCGTGAATTCTCATAATTGAGGCTACATCCAAAGCAAGATTTTTTCTTACTGCAGTCATTGTCAAATATTCGTATGGGGTTAATCTATAAGAATTAATCATAAAATCTCTGGCATCTTTATAAACTTCTAGAGTTTTATAACTTAGAGAATTATCAAAAAAATCTGGGAAGGCCTTCTTCTCTATTTCATGAATATCCGAAAAATCAAACCATGAAGAATACGATGGAATTATTACAGCATGTGTTTGTTTAGCCATAAATCTATAAGCCTTTTCTTGTAGTTTCTGAGCTTCATCATCATAATCTATTTTGTTTTCCTTTTCAGCTTCATTGTCATTTGGAGAGTTTTCAGCAGAAGTTGCCTCTGTGCCACCAACATTATCAAGTACAATTTGTGGCTCAACAGATTCCACTTTCTCCTGAATAGGTTCAGACATATCTTTTTAGGATATCAATTCTTTTGTTTTAATATTAAAATTAAAACCTCAACAAAAAGTGTAAGGTTATTTACTTGTTGATTGATTTTAAAAACGGAAACAAACCGGTACTTTACCAAAATTCAAATAGAAACAAAGGAAATAGAAACTGTTTCCACTAATAAGCACTATGGATCAACCAATTAGGACTTAGATCTCTCAAATATTCCTTCTTCATCTCATCTTTGCAATTAAATAGCTATTGTATTTTTAAATAATCTTTATCGAATTCGATGGAAATTGTTCTTACAGTGCTGAAAAAAGCCATATACCGTGCAGAATGATGAATACACGTGACTATAATAGTAGATATTTATGTTTTAGGTAATACTTCCTCTATGCCTCACAGTATATAGTGAATATAATTAAGGATGTATAATAAATTGAAGGATAAAAGTACTAGAACTACTTTTAAAATTGTAAATTGACGTTAATTGTAACAGAGTTGTCATAAAATGTCTGTAGAACAAGGAATCAGTTACAACTTTTATTATAAACATTACATCTCTCATTCAGTTGATCCTCATAAAGAACCAAACGCGTTAATAATAAATATTTAAAATTTGGCGTCACTTTTTGGAAAACTTCATCAAGTGATGAGGTGATTGAAAGTTCTATTGTTATTAAGTTGTGGAAGGGGATAGATAATATTAATCAAACTGTATTGATCTTGATCTGAAGGACTTGTTGGCGAAGTTTCTAAATACAAATTTTTTTTTAGAACGTTTGGCAGAATTGAATTAGAATTGGGTAAAGTTGGCCTTCTCACTAGCGATAGATCAAAATTGAAGAGAATGACTACAGTTAATGCTAGAATAACTAGATCATCGAGGTTCAGAGGCAAATCTTCAGAGGAGTATACTGGGAAGTATCAAGAGAAGGAAGAATCCGATTTGGAGGCAGATATCATTGTTTCTTCATCAGATGAAGAGACTGACAAGACTGAAGAAGAAGCGCCGATTTGGTTACAAGATAATGTCTCGAAAGATGCAGACGTTGCCCTAGATTCTGAAGATGAGAATGGGAAAGATGAGGAATTGGATGCTCTATTGGATAATTCCCATTTGAAGAACGCTAAAGAGGAGGAAGGCGAAGGGTCGAATGAAGATGATTCGGATAATGAAGCAGATGCAGCTACTGTTTCATTAAAATTGAAAAAGTTGGATGAATTTGTTAAGCAAAGTCAAGTCTATTCGAGTATTATTGCAGATACTTTATTAGAACGTACTCAGCAGAGAGTAGCAGAAGAAGAAGAAAGGATACATAATGTAATGGAAGAATCTGCAGATGAACCTCCGAAGAAGAAGCAGAAAAGAAGAAATATTCTAGATTTCTTCAAGGGTGGTAAAGAAACAGATAAAAAAGAGGAAGTTAACCCAGATCTAAACAAAATCAATACTGAAGAGGAAAGAATATCTCAAGTTCAACCAAATTTATTAAAAAATTGTACCTTAAAACCATATCAACTTGAAGGTTTAAACTGGCTAATTACTTTGTATGAAAATGGATTAAATGGAATCTTAGCAGATGATATGGGTTTGGGTAAAACAATTCAAAGTATCGCTCTCTTGGCTTTTATTTATGAAATGGACACAAAAGGTCCATTCCTAATAGCGGCACCGTTGAGTACTGTAGATAATTGGATAAGTGAATTCGATAGATTTGCTCCAGATGTCCCTGTTCTAAAATATTATCACCAAGGGGGCCCTAAGGAGCGTGGGAAACTGATGAATAAATTTTTTAAGAAAACCAATGGAACTGGGGTCGTAATCACTTCATATGAAATCATAATCAGAGATGCTGACCAAATAATGGCTAAGCAATGGAAATTTTTAATAGTAGATGAAGGTCATAGGTTGAAAAATATCAATTGTAAACTAATCCAAGAATTAAAGAGAATTAACACATCCAATAGATTATTATTAACCGGAACTCCACTACAAAATAATCTGTCTGAATTATGGTCTTTATTGAACTTTATTCTTCCTGATATTTTTGCAGATTTTGAAATCTTTAACAAATGGTTTGATTTCAAAGAATTGAATTTGCAAAGTGATTCCAGTAAATTAAATAAATTGATAAACGATGAATTAGAGAAGAATTTAATTTCTAATTTACACACTATACTAAAACCATTCTTATTAAGAAGATTGAAGAAAACAGTTCTAGCAGATATATTACCACCAAAAAGGGAATACTTGATCAATTGTACTATGACTTCATCTCAAAAAAAATTATATAAAAGGGCATTATCTGGACAATTAAAAGTGACGATTTTCAAGGAACTAGTGAAACAATTCTTTACATTGAATACAAAGCATATAGGACATGTTTCAAACAAATCTATTAGGGACTTCATTAATTATGAATTGAGTGAAGAAGATGATAATGAAAATATATCTGAAGAACCTGAAACTTTACAGAAAATGCAAAAAATATATGAAGAATATATGCATGCTGAATTGAAAAATAAGAAACTACAAAATATGATGATGCAATTAAGACAAATCGTCGATTCGACATTCTTATTTTATTTCCCATATTTAAACCCTGAAGAAATGACGCTTGATGTCTTGTTACAAACCTCAGGTAAATTGCAAACAATGCAAGATTTAATATTACCGTTAGTGAAGAAGAAACATAAAGTTCTTGTCTTTTCGCAATTTACAAATATGCTAGATTTACTAGAAGATTGGTGTGAATTAAATTCACTTGAATCGTTTAGAATTGATGGTACAATTGATTCAGAAAGCAGAAAGGAACAAATTGAACAATTTAACAAACCAGGTGATAAACACAATATATTTTTATTATCCACTAGAGCAGCAGGTTTAGGTATCAATTTAATTGCTGCAGACACTGTAGTTCTATTTGACAGTGATTGGAACCCACAGGTAGACCTACAAGCGATGGACCGTTGTTATAGAATTGGTCAAATAAAACCTGTGGTAGTCTACAGATTATGTTGCGACAACACTGTTGAACATGTCATCTTAACAAGAGCAGCAAATAAAAGAAAACTGGAAAAGATGGTAATTCAAATGGGTAGATTTAACACGTTAAAAAAATTAGCATTAAATGAAGGTTCGTTTTTAGGACAACAATTTGGAAACTCTAATAAAGTATCTAATAAAGACTTAGTACAAGAATTATCACAATTACTTGGAAGTGGTGAGTCTAGTATTGGTTTTTCCTCTTCTGATAACAAAACAACTGAAAATGACGGTAGATTAACCAAACTTGAAATAAAAGAACTTACCGATCGTTCAAATAGAGTTCATAAAGAAACTGACGTTGTTAAATTCCCACATATAAGATTATTCGAAACTACATCCGGTTTCTAGTTACATATTACATACATACTTTCTACATTACCAAATGAAAAATAAAATATGAACCAGAAATAATCGGGACCCTCCACGAAGTGGTAAATTAATCAATCCAGTATTATACGGTTGAATAATTTGATACCTTTGATATCATTCAGTGGAATAAGTTAAACCAGTATGTGTAAATTTATTCTGTCACTTGTAGTTGTCACTTGTAGTTGTCACTTGTTCTTATTTGCCTGGGAAGGTCAGTTGGATATCGAAGACCCGAATTTGAAAAGGGATAAAAATATGCTAACGAAGTCAAATTGGATTTAAACATATGTTATTAAAGAAAGGTAGTTTATGATTAAATAAGGCATTGTAGTAGTCCAGTAGAAGTCAATTAGGTTATAATTGTATTCTGTACTTAGATAAATACTTATACATTGGTTAGAGAAGATGAGCAGTGAAGAAGCTTTCGATGCAGCCTTAGATTTGTTGCGTAGGTTAGATCCAACTCATATTCAGAAACATTTATTGAATTTGATTGAACTTGAACCAAGTTTGGCAGAAGATTTGTTGTCATCTACTGATACACCATTGTCTGTTCAACGTGATCCTAAATCATCTCAAAGGGAGTATCTATGTTGTGATTATAATAGAGATATTGATTCTTATAGATCACCATGGTCCAATGATTACTATCCACCGTTGGCTGATGCTGATTTAGTGGAGTCTCCATTCCCATCAGGTTCTTTGAGAAAGCTGGAAATCATTGCTAATGATTCTTTTGACATATATAGAGATTTATACTATGAGGGTGGTATTTCAAGTGTTTATTTATGGGATTTGGAAGAAGAATCAAGAGACTTTGCAGGTGTTGTTTTATTCAAAAAAAGTGATCAAAGCTCAAGCAATTGGGACAGTATTCACGTTTTAGAAGTTATTTTTGAGAACGATGTAGAAGCTACTTATAGGGTTACTACTACAATCATATTACATTTAGATAAGCAACAAAAAATTACACTTTCAGGTAATTTAACTAGACAAACTGAAAAGACCCTATCAGTACCATCAGATGCTACTGAAGAACAATTGAATGTAGCTCATATCACTAATTTGGGTACCTTAATTGAAGATATTGAATCACAAATGAGAAATTTACTAGAAACTGTTTATTTCGAGAAAACTAGGGATATTTATCATGAAGTAAGAAGCAGTATCACTGGTTCTGATAAACTGAATAAAGCTAACCAAGAAGAAGTTATTAAAGGTCTGCAAAACTTATAGTTCATATGTAGTTGCATAGTTAGAAATTTTTGTAGACTTTTCCAAACTTTATTATAGGCAAAAAATATAATAATAATAATAATAATAATAATAATAATAATAATAATAAATGTGTATTGAACGTCATTCTTAATATTTGTAACTAAGTCATGAATTAGCTTTAGTGCTCTGTATAACCTAGACTGTTTCTTGATTTATAATACTTATTATATATTAGTTAAGGCTTGGTTTCCCGTTAAATCTCCATATAAATAGGGAAACATCTAAGAAGGCTTATTTCCTACAACTGAAACTACCAATACCCTCTATATCAACAAAATATTAACTCCAAATACTAGGTATTCTGATAGAAGTTTCCATTGAACTTCTATAATGACAGCGTTTTTCGTTTATTCTTGTTGGTACCCAGAAGCAAGGAAACTATTAAAGGTATATATCAAATATGAATATATGGTATAATCAACCTAATGTTTGTTGCTTGGTAAATCTGATTTGTTAGTATATTATCCCAAAGTCTTTTATAATTAAATACCATACTTTCATTCTAGAATGAGGATAGAATATTTACCATTTCTACAAATAATCAATAAAGTGAGCCATATATTGAGTTAAAGTCTAGTGAATATTTGATTTTAATCAATGACAGTGTTCGAAATTGAGGCACATTTAAACTATCAGTTTATAATATATTTTAAAGTTCCAAGTCTTTACAACTTCAACTGACTTTAATCTATATCCATACTCACGGGTGTTCAATGATATTGGTTATTTGGTTAATATAATAAATACGACAGAACATATTAATGCATGAAGAGTAAAAAGAATCAATCTATTGCCCATGTTTAGATATCTATACGATTGTAAGAATCATAATCTTGCTTAAATACTAACTGTCTTGAGGTATCAACATATTCAATATTTCCTAAATCTTTAAGCCTGCTTACAATAGTAAATAACAAAGTGCCGTTGACGTATAATATAATTCGAGCTCTATGAATAATAGCAAATGTTATTTATATTATTACAATATTGGTGGATCTCTAAATTTCATTAACAGCTACACCATATAGATATTTTTTAACTTTATACAATCCAGAGATAGAGTAGAATTTATTTCCACATTATTAATATGAAACATATATAGAAAGACTAAAATATTTCTTTCTGGCAATAGCATAGTGATACCCTCTATTTCAATCTCAATAGCCCAACTTCTAAAAGTCTAATTGGAATCGATTACTAAGAAGTATATTAATTATTAACTTATTTGTATCAACTTTACATCTCACCGTTCAAGTCAAGAAGTCAGCTAATTTGTATATATAGTAGAAAATAATTCCAAGATAAATATAATTCTTAATTGTTATTAAAGTGTCTAATACATCGTTAAAAGGTTGGATATATATTATTAATATTGATTAAACTGGTTAAAACTTGATAATTTTTTACTTTCTCTTATTAGCTATTTAGTAATAGTTTGGGTTTCAACACTTCATACTTTAAAGCTAGATGAAATCAATATCATTAGAATATCATAATAAACAACTGTTCTAATTCTAACTCTTATTGCTAGTTTGTTCATTATTATTTGATCATTGAATTTTTAATTGGTGTTATTTGTTGTACAAGTAGAACTTGCAATTTTATTAGTATTGGCCATAATAGTAAATATTTGTATCTGTTCTAGTAAGTTAATTATTGAATACATTATGAACCTAAAGGGTGATGATTAAATAGAACAGAGGTATATAACATTTGATATAAGATTTGATATCTGTTGGATGTTTTTATATTTTGGAGCTCTTTTCCATTTGGGATATTTTAATTTTGATCACATTTAAAGCTTTGGAGCCCAAACTAAACAATAAGTTGACCAAAGTTTAAAACAATATGTCAATTTTTTATGATTATTCAAAGTAATATGAAATTAAGAAAAATGATATAATAAGTTTCATGCTTATTGATGTGCTTGTTGTAAAATAATCAATATCCAATTGTTTTCTTCCGTAAATATAGTCTCTAATTGAACTTAAATTTCGTAACTGGAATTGAATGGATTGATATTTTTTCAATTTAATAAACTGATTGTAATTAAACATCCCTCTACAATCAGATTGATACCATTATAGAACATGTTAATCAAGTTATTGCTTAAAATCTCCTTATGACAGTGTGCTTATGCTGTCCAAACTCAACATACTGATATATGGTCACCTGGTACGTTATGTAGCAATATATCCGTAATTTATCCTAAATAAATCTCTATGTACTTTCAAAATGTCAGTACATAAATAATCAGACAAATAGTACAAATGGATATTTATACATTCCAAATTCAATATTACTTACAATATGCCAATAGTATATATCTTCCTTAAAGATATATACTAGTTACTGGAATTTTATATAATAAATTCATTAAGTTTTTTAAGCCACTTCTAAATTTCTATGGCAAGTAATCATGCCCTTAAATATCATTTGGTTCAGATTTAAATCCATTCCCAACCTCCAAAAGAAACATTTACAGGTTCTAGTGTCGAAATTGAAATCTTTACTTCGGGATCTAGTCGATTAATATGAGTCCATAATTAGGTTTAGAACCAATAAACACGTGATTCAAATACAAAGGTATGTATCTCATAATACACGAAACTATCAAATTGAATAATTTGATATTTATTTCAAGAACCTGCTATTAGTATATGTTCAATAATACCAATTCTCTTATTATCGAAGGTTATAAGAAGTTACAAAGAGATCTCTACATCACTAACTTATCTGAATTAGATAGTGAATAGCAAGAATATATTTGAAGTTTTTTATTTCCATCAAAAAGGAGTTCAAACACCTAGTACGGTTGACTTTAAAGCTGGAGACTATTTATCTACCTATAATATATTAAAGAGTTAGATATATACATATTAGATACAGATCTAAAAGACACAATTATTTGATTTTGGGTGATTATATTTGCATAATTTGCGGAGATATCTTAGATTTGTTATTAAATTTTGTATGACAGTTGTAACATTAATATTTAAAAAGTAAGAAGACAGAGGGTTATTATAAGATACAAGACAATACCTATTAAATAATATCAGAAACGGAAATAATGATGAAATCAAAAGTTTGGTCTGAAGCCCGTGTTTACACAAATATTAATCAACAGAGAGATAAATCGTATTGGGACTATGAAAATACTACGATTGAATGGTCGACTAATAATAAGGACTATGAAATCGAAGCCAAAGTTGGTCGTGGTAAATACTCTGAAGTTTTCCAAGGTGTAGAGTTAAAGACACAGAGAAAAATTGTCATTAAAATGTTGAAACCTGTAAAGAAGAAGAAAATTAAGAGAGAAATCAAGATTTTAACCAATTTATCAGATGAGCAATCTCCTCCGACTGCTCTGCAATTCAATAAGGATGAATATTATTCAAATAAGAAAGAGTTTGTTTTAAAATTTATAAGACCATATATATATGACCTGCCTCATAATGGTCATGAAAATATAGTACAATTGTTTAATATTGTTAAAGATCCTATCTCTCGAACACCGGCTTTAATCTTCGAACAAGTAGACAATATCGATTTTAGAGTTTTATATCCTAAATTCACCGATATGGATATGAGATACTATATGTTTGAGTTATTAAAAGCTTTGGATTACTGTCATTCGATGGGTATCATGCATAGAGATGTAAAACCACATAATGTTATGATAGATCATAAGCAAAGGAAGCTGAGACTAATTGATTGGGGTTTAGCAGAATTATACCACGCTAATATGGAATACAACGTCCGTGTTGCTTCAAGATTCTTCAAAGGGCCTGAACTATTGGTTGACTACAGAATGTACGATTATTCCTTAGACCTATGGTCTTTTGGTACAATGTTAGCATCAATGGTATTCCAAAAGGAACCATTTTTTCATGGTACCAGTAATACTGATCAATTAGTTAAAATTGTTAGGGTGCTAGGTAGTGAAGATTTCGAAAAATATCTAATAAAGTACGAGATAACCCTTCCTCGTGAATTTCATGATATGGACCAATATATAAGAAGACCATGGCATAGATTTGTAAATGATTCAAACAGACACTTATCGGGCAATGACGATATTATAGACTTGATAGATAACTTATTAAAATATGACCATCAAGAAAGGCTAACTGCCAAGGAGGCAATGGGTCATCCATGGTTCGCACCAATTAGAAACAATGAGTATTCAACTCAAGATATCGAAATTGATTAAATAATGACAATAGATTAGGTGATCTATTTGAAGATACTTCTGTTTGTTCGAAACGACATTCCCAACTCTAAATTTGTACAATAGTTCCATATATTGGTTTTGCCACTATAAGTAAAATGATTCAATGCAATCAATATCTAACATTTCATGTAATGAAAAAATACTAAAAATTTTATAATTTAATTCTATACATGCCGATATTGTTTTTATCTCCTTTTTAGCTTTCTTGTCAACCAAAAATTCACCAGCAATTGAACAACTGGATATTTTAATTCCAAAAAGGTGTAATAACTACCCATTAATAATATGTTCAGAATTTTATTAATATTTACTTATACCTATATTATCAATTAAATTATGTATTAGTTTATATAACGTTTTGCAATGAAAATTTCATTGCTATGCTCAAAATATTAAGTAGTATTAGTAATACTACTTCTATCACTACCACTACTACTACCATCAATAACAATAATTATAGTAGTAATAGTAATATTTTATTATAATTATTATCATCAAATTCAACAATAGCCAGTAGTGTCATTTGAGAAATTATAAATGTCCGGATTATAATTCTGCAAGAATTCATTAACCATAGAATTGGTATTGTCGTCAAACATACAGGATTTCAAATGTTCTCTAAGGAATATTTGAAATTCTACCATCCATTTTTCATAATATTGTATCCTATTTTTTAGAAATATATTTTCCTTTGACATTCTTGCGACATCAGTCTTGAGTTGTAATTCTTCAATCTTCTTCTTTCTCCTACATTTCGAAGCAGCAGCACGATTTTTTTCTAGTAGATATGCTCTACGTTCTTCATCCAATACAAGCTTTCTCTTCTTAATCTTGTTTAAAGAATTTGTATCAGATTTTAAATACTTATTTCTACAAGATCTGGCAATCTGTTCATTATTATTTTTAAAAATTAATGTCTTCAAAACTGGCTTCTTTGAAGATGGACTCTTCCTTTTAACTTCAAAATTACTCAACTTACTTGGTATGATTTCAAGCTTTGAAATTTTTGGAGAGCTTTCTTCATTCTTTATTTTAGCATAAGGAACTTCATAATTCATTGCTTCTCTATCCACTAAAGATAAATAACTTTGATTGAATGCCTTTGCAAATAAGTTTACCTCTAATTGGCTTTTTGGAACTTCCTCATTCTCACTACATATGGTACTATTATCACTATCAAATGTATTGTTGGAAGGATAAAAATCCATCATATTTGGTGTGTCATTTAATTTATATTCTGTATCTGAAGGTGTTTCTACAACCCTTCCATTATCGTAAATATTTCCTGATATTCTGTCTATTTCATTTGATTCGTAATAGAATGGCTGTTGATTGTATTCTCTTATTTGTGCTAATTCCGAATATTGTTCCGCCATTAGTTTTAAATATTCGCTTGGAATTGGCGCCGTTGTCTGTCTTAAGAGGCAATTGTCTTGGATATAACTATTATTCATTATTAATTCTTTAAAAATAAGAATCCTTTGGGATTGATTATATGGTATATATGTTTAGCATAAGCCTTTGGGTCACTAATTAAAAAATATTGAACAAGATTACCAAATTAATATTAACTTCTTTTCAAGTAAGAAATATTTTAGAATATTAATTTGAATATAACTCTAGTTTAAATAGCATCATTGAATTATTTCCAACCAAGGAACAAAAAAATGGGATAAGGATGTGTTTCTTTTATTGGTTACAAGAGATATACGGCAGTAACGATTTCATTCAGATATACATAGAAAAACCTATAAATTATTAAATAAGCTCAAGAAATAGGAATAATTACATTTATCTTCCTAACCTCAAAAAAAGTAGAATAACAGTTTTAATCTTTTTGCTTGACATCATTTCTCTTCAGAATGTCACATAGGAGGTTAGAATTTCACTGAAAAAAAGTGAGCTACAACTGAAATTAGAGGTATATATTTATTATCGATAAAGAAATTTTTCAGATTCAATAAAAGAACTAAATTATTATTGAGAAAGACAGAAAATTCAATATAAAATTTGTTAAAGTTCCAAATATAAATCTTTTCTTTTTCTCTGTTAATCCCCTTCAACATCTTACTAATATAGCATGGATTTATTAACTGATAGCAATCTAATTTCATCAATGGATCTTTATTCTCTTGTGTTATGCTTACATTTAGCTTGACAGAGATCGTTAAGAAAGTTAATGAGCAAAACGCCAAAAAAAAATACGCATCTAATTGTCTAGTACATCTTTTCTACAATAACAATATACATTACATTGTAAATTAATCTTTGATAACACAATTCTACTGCAACAAAATAAATTCGAATTGAGATGTCTTCACCTATACAAGTCCACTGGAAACGGTTTGTACAGGCGAAGACCCTAGAGATATGGATTGTTCTAAGATATTTGTTTTACTCTAGACAAAAACCCAGAAGGATGATAGAGGGGAGATATCATGGCAAATGCAGCATCAAGGAAGAATAATGTCTACTAATTTCCCCAACCCATATATGTCAATTTTCCTAACAAAACAACTAAGCCCAAAAAAAGATAAAATAAAGCATACAAATTAATGAAATATTCTTTCTAATTTCGAACACATTTCTAAGTAGTTCATTCATTTCTACTGCAAACATTGGAGACGATACCAACAAGGACGTCCAGCACTTGATAATGGTTACTGTCTCACTGCAAATATGCCATGCCCCTCGTATACATCCATAAGCATAAGCATTTCAAATGACACCTGCAGAATTTGGCATAATTGGAACTAAAATTGAAATGTTTCTTCTTCAAGAATTTCTCAAATGAACCTATTGTGACAAAAATTAGCATGACATTTTCTCGCAATCCCTACGATTATTCTGAGGTTGAACCTCAACTTCTAGAGATAATATATGCTAAAATTCAAGCCTAAATGGCTAGAACCTCCTTCAATCGGTTGCCATTTCCTTTTAAATTTGGGTCAAAAAAACTTGCCTTAACCTCGATATACAAGAAAACGTCAAGACTAGTAAGAGATCTGGCAGACAATCGTTGACCCTGTTCCAGGCTTCTTACACTCTCCCCTCCCTTCCTTCTTCCCCTCAACACTTTCGCAATTCAGACAATTACACAGTGTATATCTATGGCTAGTTAGTTGGCTATCGCCGGCTATTACATTTCTGAGAAATGCTTGTGGCACAATTCCCAAAACAAGAAACGATGCTTCGGAAAAACTACTTTCATTCCTGTTTCATCATCCCTCTTATCGCCAACACCTGAGATAGGAACGCAGCCCGTCCGTTTCTGACGTTTTCGAATCCAGAACCTTAGGCCTGCGTCGAGCACTGAGATAGTGGAGAAACATGGTAGCAAGACGGATGCAAAATCTTTCTTTCTTTTTTTGGATAAGTTCTACGACATTCTTCAGATGTTCATTAAGAAAGTTGTAATTGATGGAATAAGTATTCTGTAGAATTACAATACCATTTCCATTTAATTTGAGATTTGTCGTGTTCTACTATTGGCCTAAATGAAATTCCAGACAGACGAATGTGGAAATTATCATTCAATGTGTCCAAATTTGGTTAATATTTAGCTAGACGTTTCTTGTTCTGTAATGATATTGTATGAGTGCATATCTTGTAGGAAATAGAATTAATTGATATACTACCAAAAAGTCAATACAAATTAGTAGGTAGCATTGAGATTTATTGATACAATTTAAGAGTGAATCTTTACCAAGAACTGCTTTTTGTTTTCTTGTCTAATTCATTCATCCATTCACTAATTTAGAAAAGATGTATAGCATAGAGTTGTTATGCTACCTTTTGGATGATTGTAACTGGGAAGAACAAGAGAAATGTGTGGGTGCATCACAGTAACTATATGCTTGATTAATTCAAAGGGTGAATTATATTAAATTTCAGTCTTTTTCCGAAATACAAAGGGTATTGTAGGATGCTTATTGTCGTTTGTAAAAGAAAAAATTGGCTTAAAAAGATAAAAAGAAATTAGGTCCAGCCTTTTCTCTAATTTCTATTACTAGTAAATATTTATTCTTGTCAATTTTATCAATATAGATTAGTTATACTTACTGCTTAAATTTATAAGAAAAAAAAACAACTTAATGTCATGATTTTCTATCAAAAAAAAAGTAATAGTATCTTATAAGTACAAGAGTGCTCAATATGTAGAATCCAGAGATAGTTTTAATACCGTCACAGACGCAATCTACAGTATATATTTGTACTTGGTATATGAGACTGTTCTACAATATTTACCCTTAAATTATTGTACAAACACCAGTAGATATATTTAAAGACACTTGAAAGTAACTAAGAATAAATTTTGAAAATAAAGTATGGCAAAGAGTAAGAATAAGAACAAATAATGAAAAAAAATCCGTACTGTTTATAATAGTATACTTTGATTTATAATTAAAATCGATGGTTCCCAACTATTATTTAATATTTTTAATCATATAAGAGTATATTTCTTAGAGTTCCTAGTTAATGAGAAGGCAAGACCAGTTCTTCATATTTAGAGAAACTACTATACTTCTAAAGAAATTTATAAAAAAATACAGTATTATTTACAAAAACGCAGTATTATTTACAAAAACGCAGTATTATTTACAAAAACGCAGTATTATTTACAAAAACACAGTCATTAATGTAAGTTTAAAACAATTAAACAAAAGACAATTTCCTTGCTAAATGTCCTTGTAGTTTATTTCTAGCACTTGCTACTTCTCTGTCTTTTTAAAAAAACATAAGAATGTTTTATAACTTGAATGTAATTAATCCAGGGAAATTAAGCAAATATCCTTCAAAAGTTTAAAAATAATTCCTCATATAATTCTATGATGTCAATAGAAGTTTCGTGTTTCTGGTGAAATGTCAAGTTTCCAATATTTTATTTTTTGTAAAAACTGTTAATCAAATTTCTATCATATCTAGCTAGCACACTTAATATTGCAAAAACTTTTGAAGTAATTTCTCATAACTTAGAGTTTATGGCAAATTCCAATACAGTAAGTTTTCACTATATAAATGAATATTTAAATCTTTGTATAACATAGTTCTGGAAAAGTATTAAAAAAAGAAAAAACTTTCTAAATTTTATTGAGAATGTCTTGTATGTATAGGATTCCAACACCAAAAATTAAATTCAATGGCTGTTTCAGAGTTCTTCTAAAAGAAAAAAATGAAGCCTGTTGCAAAATGAACCCCCCCTATCCTCAAATATAATATTTCAAAACACTAATAAAAGTAAAGGCCAAGCCAATGAGCAGATAATAGCCGTAACCTTCGCAACCCACCAAACATGTTCGTGGTTAAATGGACAAACTGTATAATACCATTGCCACTTGCCAATTTTTTTATTAAACTGACCAGTAACAATACCTGTGTTACCTTCATATTGACCCATCATAGACTTTACGGTAACTTCTTTAATATTCAAATCATGATTATTTAAAATTGTATTTGCGGCAACCCATTTCCCATTTGTAGAGTTTCTATTGTAAATTGTTTCACATCCTTCATGGTCATGCCCAGTTAAAATAATACCTGGCTTATCATTATCGAATATTAAATTCAAAACCCTGTTTGAAACATCTTCACTTAAATGATTCTGAGATCTCAATAAATTTGATTTATATGGTTCCTTTTCATAAGCTTCAGGATAAAATCTGAATTCAGGGCCATCAGAACACAAACCTTCACGTTTATAAAAAGGAACATGAGTTAACAAAACAGTACTACCATTAAATCTTCTTTCAAACAATTGATATAAAAATTCCCATGTAACTTCAAGAAACTCTGGTTGTAAAGCAGGTCCTTCTAGTGCAACTGAGTTCAAAACAACTATTCTCCATGGATGGTCAGTATCTAGATCGTATTCAACCCAATAATTATCTTTACCAAATAATTGGTTGTATCTAGACAAATGTTGATAAGTAATATCACCAGAATAACCAATGTCGTGATTACCGGTCAAATTAATAAATAAGTAATTTTCGTTATCTTCCCACGAGTGTACATCACTGTAACCAAAGTCAAAATTCATTGGGCTTCCCTCTTTACGAATTTGATTAAAATTCTTTCCCCATAAATCCCAATCAACTTGATATTCATTATTGGCATTTTTATTATTTTCTTTAATACTTTCCAATAATGAAACATCTCTTTTAAAGATTCTTGAAACATATCTTATTGTTCTATTATAAAATTCAGAATCACCAATCCACTGAGAAGAAAACAGATCACCCATTACTGCAACATGAGTTGGATTTAATCTTGATACCATTGTATCGAAGATATGACCTAGGAAGTAATCATTACCAAAAGTATCCAAACGTGTACGATATGGAGTGCTCTTAAAGGTACCTTTAATTTGTGGATCACCAAAGGCTAGCATATGCACCTCTGGAACATCATCATCATCGTTACTTAACCTATCTTTCTTCGAGAACAATTGCTTTGAAACATCCTTTAAATATCTTTTAGTAAAGTAAGCAGCTTTTTCTAATTGACCACCTTGTTCTAGTATATCTTGCTCATATTCAGTCATTGAACTCTTACACCTCCAGAAACATTTTGTTGGATCTACAGAAGGATATGTGTAGATATAAATATTAGTAATAATTGAAACTATTGTAGCGACAGTTATAATTACTTTAGCAGCTGATTTCCCACCCATGACTAATTATAGGAGAGACCCAATTCGCAATACAACTCTTTTAACCTTTAAAACTATTGATGTATGATTATGAAAACAAATTATAGCAGCCTGATAGACCTATTTTATCAACTAAGTACAGGTTTCTTATCGATTTAATACTCGAATGAGAACATTTTATATGTTAAGTAGTTTTTCATTTTTTCAATATTTAAAGGTTTTTAAAATTGATATTAACATGGAAACACTGTAGGAGAAAAATAATATCATTAAGGTCCAATATTTAATGTTTGATCTATTGATGATAAGCATACTGATGCTATTATCACTACGGAAGGGTTGAGATTGACGGTAGACATAATGAACTTATTTATTTATATATGTATGTATGTATATATGTATGTATGTGTGTAGATTGACTAAGAAATTTATTAAACAATTAACATATAAGAAATCATAAATAATAGATAAACTTAATCAACAAAAAATAATTACTATACCATTAATAGAGTCTAATTTATTGTCATGATATAAGTCTTTAATCTTGTGTTTTATTTAGTCATTATTGTTTAGACTAAATATGTTGGCATTACAAAAGTTAGGACGATGGGCCTTTTCTCGATGTAATAATGGAACTATTTAAATCAAAATATTTAGTGGAGGCATTTAAAACTAGTCTCTTGTAATATCTTGTACATATTCGACGACTCTAGCCTTCACAAAATTGAAAAGTATTGCTGAACCATTCACTGAAGTGCTAGTTAAGTAGGCAGTCCACTGAACAATTGCAGTTTCAAAATTTTTATCCTGGATTAATAATTTATATAACATTGGAATATCTTTTCCTAAAACCTGATCAAATCCTCTTAGATAACAAAATACACCAAACAATATGATCAATATATAGAATAGTCTCCTAATAATAGATATAATATTAGAAAATATTCTGTAAATTACATACAATGCAAATAATGAAAAGAGGGATAAGAACAAAGTAGGATGTTCCTTACTAAAACTAGCGATAACTGGAATAATAAATTGGATTATTCTAATTATATTCCATAAAAAAATCGAAATGTACTTTTGAATTTGTTCTTCTGGATGTGCTTCCATCTTTGTCCTTGGTATCTTTATGTTGTCTAACGTATTACTTACAGTTATCACTTTAAATATCGATGAAAACTGTACTTAAGTTTAATGATTCAGATAGTTGACACCCTTGACTCCCAGAATTAAATATAAAACGAAAACCTTATAACGTCCCCTTCTTAAAAGCAAATTATTATTTAATCATAAATCACATCACCATTATCTCCATTGTTAACTCATTTTAGTTCTTTCGATGTCTTTTGTTTAATCTTTGCCAAATCGGGAACCGATTCGAATTAGTGAATATAGGAATTTTTAGAGAATGTTGAAGAACTATTTCGAAATTTGCCATTACTTAAAGGTTCATTTCCTTAATTTGAGATGTCAATACAAATATTAGTTGAGTCCTGAATAATTTAAAAATTTCTTTAGTATCGAGATTGATACTTTATATGTTAACTAATTTCTTCATTTGACGGAAAATTAGGTTTAATGGTTACTTCTGACAAGTGGTTTTGCCTAGCCAAAGAAGGTAAGGAATTCGAGTAATCTTTATTGTAAACACAAAGAGATATTTAGTTGAATTTAGATTTAGATTTAAATTTAGATTTAAATTAACATTTTTCAAGACATGTCTGAATTTATAAGGACTTTTAGAATCCTCGATACCATTAGATTGAGGAAGTATACCGACGTTGATTTGACTGTTTAATATTCAAGATCTCTCATCCCAAAAACAGAGAACTGGAATATCTGTTATTCCTGAATATTAACTTTAAGAATAGTAAGATGGAATTTTTAATATCAAATTTTAATTTCAGTAAATGGAAAGAAAAAAAAATATTTAGCTTAGAAGGAATGGAATTATTTAGTCATCGTAATTATCTTTATCCACATCAACACGAAAATTAAATTAAGCAATTGCTGAATCCACCTTGATTAAATAATCGTAGCGTCATGTTGACACCATATCTTGATCACTGTTCCGAGTAAAGAATGCTGCTACTAATTTATCTTAAATTCGGTGAAATAGAGGGTTCTAGATGAACTTTTCTCATCCCTTCTCTAAATTACAGGTATACGAAACAAATCTTCTTTAATTGAATGCAGCACTTATTTATCTTAGGTTCTTGGTCGTAAAAGTATTGGACAAATAATTCTAGATCACATGAGTGTTGTTGTTGATGCAGTTTTAGTAATAAATTATCGTTGTTATTAAACCAATTGGTATTTTGAGGTTCACTTAAAAAACGTAACTACAGAAAAATTTTGTAGATTAGATAATAAATATTGATATATTTTTGTTTCAAGATTTTGGGGTGTCCATCAAAACTTGCAAAACCAATTAATAGAAACAATTCAACGATATTTCAATATTAAATTTATTAGTTAATAATAATTAAAGTAGATAAATAATTTTCAATTAGAGTGGTTGCCGATTTCTTAATACCTTCGGCCAGAATTGTTCACCTTCTTTCAACGAATGTCGTTGAAATTAAAGCTGGTATCACACTGTATTCCTCAAATAGAATTAATAAATCGTGCAATTGTCTACTGATGGAATTTATATTTCTTGATTTCCCCAGCTCCAAATGATAAATTGTCTTTACCAATGATTGGAATTATTCAAAAAAATACTTGGTTTTACTCAACTCTAATAAAACATCGGTAAATAGCTCCCGATGAAATTCAAAGCATTTACATTAGTTTTTAATGCAAATTAGTATATCTCTTGTCTTTTATCGGTGCAGATTCCTCCATTACTCTAAGAGAATTATCGATACATTCAAATTTTATGTATATAGTCATTTTTTTTAAAGTTGACGTCAATTGTATCTCATGACAGACAAAACTTCTGCAATTTATAGTACTTTGTTCTTTTACTAAAATCTGAATGTATTCATTCTATATCTATTTTCAAGTTTTTAAAATTTTTTACCCTAAAAGCATTCAAGGATACATATTTTCTTTTAATGTCACAACATATAATATTCTTACCCAGTAATATATATCAGTCTTTTAGGCACCACGTACCAAGTAAAATCAATAGAATTGTGAAAAATTAGAAATTATTCGACCATCCAACAAAATATGTGTCTTTCGCATATCCAAAATATTATTGTTTTTGTAGCATTTGAGGACTTGATAGTAATGTCATAATGATATGTCAAATACGGTATACTTTCTCGAAGTGAGTAACAAGATGATCTTAGGTATAAGAATATTATAATTTAATAGGTCAAGAAACTCATGATATGATAACAGTAAAGGAGCTCTCTTAAATCTGAATTCTGTCAATCATTATATCCCAAGGTATAATAGCCTGTTATTTACCAAAATGTCGACCCAAAAAAAAAATTGAACATGATAAATACAGGAGAATAGTAGCTGGATATTTGAAATGAGTATCTGTAAAGAATAGGATATTTGAACATATGAATTTAAAGTATTAGTTCAAAAATATATTCGTTGTAAACTTATGTCACATTTTCTTTATGAGTTCTATAATTTTATATGATCAATTATTTCCTGGTGAATAAAAACTTTGATTAATATTTTTTATAGTTTACTGTATTCAAGTAAAATTATGAAGGTCATTAAGATACAAAGTTAACTTTCTGGATATATTCTAATATGTAAATTGTAGTATCTAATCCCAAAATATTTTTGTCGAACTTTTTACCATCAAATAGCTTCATCCAACAAATAATGAACATTTGTTTAAAAAAACTGTTTATTTCCTTTGAAGATAAATATCAAATTACAAGAATTACAGTTAGATATCTTTCTTTTTTAGCGGTTACTTTGAGATCATATATGGGATACGTTAGAATAATGTTTGGGCTTTTAATGTAAGTAAGACGCGAAGGAAGTCTATATGGGATTAAAATTTTCCGATATCAGAAAGAATGTTTCTGTAAAATGTATTAATCCAATGGAGATCAAACAGTGAAGTAGCTTTCTCGAATACTTCTTGATCCAACATTTTGACTCATGTTGAATCATCTAGCCTCAATGAAGTTGTAATGA